AAATGCTAGACGAATCTTCCACGCGTTCCGTTTTTGGATCGTGGAACGAGTAGGATCTAGTAGCGTGGAATCTCTCCACGCCAGCTAAATATCTAGTGCGATGTTTCACCATCGACCTAGTATGACTAGCGGTCATGAGAACCCTGTCTCAATGACTATTCACGAGAGACTCAGTCATGAGAACCCTATCTAGGATCGAGTCGCGAATAAGGCTAAGAGCCGTGTATTGCATTCTGGAAGGTTCAGTTCCAGTACTGAAGTAGTGGACTGGGCCTCGCCGAAACCCTTCCTCAGGGACAGCGGTAGTCAGGCAGTAAGGAAGCCTTGAGGTGCCTCCCAGAGGAATCCAGAGCTCTCGCTCCTAAAAGTTATCGGTCTTCTCTTTCACTCAAGCTGTGTTCACCTACATCACTGGTTCTACAATTGTGTGCTTGCTCTTTCTGGCCTGTGTTGGGTGTCATGGGCGCTTCGCTGCACCAAGACTGTCATTCCCACTTTGGACACCCTCACTTTGGCAGATACCTATTCCAGTCTTCCGCCTCCTGAACAATGGAAAGGTTCCCAATGACGTGCACAGGCTCGCCAGGTTCCTTTCTCCAAGCAAAGACTATTAATGATGATGGTACTCCTCAGCTCTTCAGTGTGTCACTCACAGCCCATTGCCCTGTCCCAGGACTTGACTTTTGAGAAGCGCCTGAAACGCCTTAGGAGCCATAAAGGCACACTTCGAACCAACAAGTTGAATGACAATGACTGTCTTTCTTTGAATATGCTTTTGGGAGACACTAAGCAGCAGTTTGGAGTTGTTACTAAGGGATACCCAGATGCCTTCAGTGCTATCATTGACACTGGATGTTCTTTCTCAGCTACCAACAGCTTTGATGATGTGGAGGAAGGATCTGTCAGAAAGCTAGCTGAACCAATTCAACTAGGTGGAATTGCGGGAAGTCTCATGGTTGAATATGTGGGCAATGCTACATGGGAAACTCTTGACGACAATGGCAATGTTGTTCCGTTTCCAGCTAAGGTGCTCGTCCATGAAGACTTACCTCATCGTCTGGTCAGCCCCCAAACCTTTTTGGACCATCAATCTGCTGATGAAAAGTGTGACACTATTGAAGACCACTTCAGAGTTTATCGGTCTGACTCTGAATGGTGGACTCAAGGTGCCAAAACATTGACCATGGGATACGACTCCAGTTTCTTACCTCGTATCACTCTCTTTCCAAAAGGCAAGGCTGTTCCAACATTGGAAGCAATGACTTCTGCTCTCCACTCAGGGAACCGAAACTTGCCAACTATGAAGAAGCACTGGCTCAAGTGGCACACCAGGCTGGGACATATTGCCTTTTCACATGTCAGAAAGCTGGCTCTTGGAGGATTCCTAGACAATGTTGCCCTTGGTCTAAGCCATTCCAAGGTACCTACTGCTCCCTTATGTTCATCATGTCAGTTTGGGAAGCAAACCAGAAGGCCTGCACCATCACAAGGAAGAAACGAGTGAAAGTTGGAGTCCTCAAGGAAGGACAACTCAAGCCTGGTGATTGAGTTTATTGTGATCAATTAGAGTCACGCCTCCGAGGGAGGCTATTCCATACGGCTGGAAGAGAGCCCGACAAAGACAAGTACTGTGGAGCTACTAGCTTTTGTGCTGCTGCATCTGGTGTCCTTCATGTTGAATGTCAGGTAACCCTCAACGCCTCAGACACCACTAATGCTAAGGACAGCTTCGAAAGATTCTTTCGAGAACATGGTGTGGAGGTTGACTCTTACCATACTGACAATGGTATTTTTAAGAGCAGCCGATTTGTCAATGAAATTATGGAGAACTCTCAGTCGATTTGTGCAAAATGGCAGAATGGTGTCTCCGAGGGAGCCATTCGAATCCTTGTGTCAAAGGCACGAACAATGATGATCCATGCGTCTCTCCATTGGCCTGAAGCAGATGACGCCACTCTTTGGCCCATGGCACTCCGGCATGCTGCCTATTTGTACAACCACACTCCCAATGAAGCAAGTGGAGTTGCCCCTATTGAGATTCTTTCCCGTACCACATCTGATTGCCAAGCCCTTCGTTTGTCCCATCCATGGGGTTGCCCAGTCTATGTTTTGGAACCCAGGCTTACTGATGCAGGTGGCAAAATTCCCAAGTGGCAACCAAGGTCCAGAAGAGGACAGTACATGGGAGTATCTCCAGTTCATGCTGAAAATGTGTCAGTTGTGAAGAATCTCCGCACTGGTTACCTCTCACCCCAGTTTCATGTTGTTTTTGATGACTGGTTTGAGACAGTGTTTTCTCCTGAGGAGTCACCCCCTCCTCAATGGAATGATCTCTGCATGTTTGAGAGGTTTGAGACCCATTTTGATGAATCTCCGCCTCCACTACTCCAAGATGAGTGGCTCTCCCCTGATGAGATTGAACTCAAGCAGACCCGGAAACAGTCCCGTCCCTTGCAACAAGGGAGAAGAATGTGGCAGGATGTTACTTCCCGTGAATCCAGGGATGATTTCCCCTATCAACCGCCTGAAATGTCAGCTCCAAGGAAGCCACCAGATGTGTCTCCAAGGGAGTCCCCATCTCCCATTCGCTCTCCAGCTCCCCTATCTTCAAGTTGGACCAGAGCTCAACCAACTGAGTACCCTGCCCCTTCACCGGTGCCACCCAAGCCGGCCCCTCCAGACACATTGCAAGCAACTTCAACTGTTCCAGCCCAGCGCAATCCATCTGTCACCTCAAACCATGCCTTGCCACTGCTTGGGACCAGAGATTCGTGATAGCTGCCACAAGCACTTGGTAGCTGACAAGAGAACTATCAATTTCACAAAGAAGGCTGTGGAAAAGATGCTTCAGAAGGAACACTGCAGGCTTTTCATGAAAAGGTACCGCATCAAGGATCCCATCCCAGTTTGCATTGTTTCAACCTCGGAACTGAAAGTAGATGTGTATGGGAAGAGGATGCTTGACGATGAAGCTAACATGGAATCAAGTGATGACGATGAAACGGTTGGTGGGGACTTGGAGGAGTTGAAAGTCGACTTGTATGGTAATAAGAAACTGTCGTGCAAAGATGACAGCAGTGACCATTGTAGTGACGATGAGTCAGAATCAGATGAGAGAGGAGGGAGAATGCAGAGAGAGGACCAAGTATATGAAATTGTCTTGGATTCCTCGGATGAGGAGGGCGACGAAGAGCTGTACCGTCCTGTATTCCCGAAACAATCCGAGACGGTAAAGGCTGTCAGAAAACAAACTGCTCCTCCTGCCACAAAAGCAAACAGGGTCTCTATTGGAAGTGTCAATAATAAACTGGAGGCTAAGGAAGGCAACAATAAAGCAGAAAGTCTGTCGTCCTGCTCATCCGATGACAATGAAGTGGCGTTCACCATGAAGTTTACGTGAAGGGAGACCTAACAATGAGTAGAAGAGTTCATAGTAGTATAAGTAGACAAAAACCATGTTAGTTCTCTTTTCTTTTTTCTTTTGGTTTGGAGCTAGAGCTGCACGAGGTCCACTTAGTATCTCCCTCTCTCTTTCTCTCTCTCTCTCTCTCTCTCTCTCTCTCTCTTTAGCCCTCTCTATCTCTCTTTCGAACTCTCTCGTCTTAGCTCTCTCTTGGTTTTGGAGTCTCATCAGGGGAGGCACTTACAGATATTCTGGAAGTCTGGTGTGTAAAACTGTCGCAGTGGCATCTCCATCGTTATGGTACCCAGTTCCACAGTCTTTGCTTCAAACTTTTTCTCTCTGGGCTCCTTCTCATCACCAAGACCATTTTTGCTTGCGTCAGTCTCCTCTGCATCAACCCTTTTTCTTGGCGGGCTTCTTCTTATCATCAAGACCACCGTGGCTCCCGTCAGTGTCATCGAAATTGGAATCCTCGGACTCCTTCTTTCCCTCCTCCTCTACCTTATCCTAATTGTCTTTTTCTTCCTCGTCATCAGCCCCTTCTTCCTTTTCTTGCAGTTTGGTGTAATAATGGGGGTGGATTAGCCGGAGGTATCATTCAATGTTCTGGTGGAGGTCCTTATCCTGTGAATTGAAGAAGGAATCATAGTGGAATTGGGGGTAGATACGTGCTATACTGCTTTGCAAAAGACCAGACTCCCCGAACATCTCACTGGGATCAAAAGAGTCAGTGTCTTTTGGTACCAGTATGATCATCACTCGGAGGTGTCGGTTCCCCTCAACATGGGTGATGTATCTGGCCTCACGCGAGAGTGACATGGGACCGACAACTGCATTGCCGTATTTGGTGTAAGTTAGCTGACCATCCAAATCTCGAGCATTTTTGTGGTGCCTCCCAAATATCCCGTTTTGGTCCAGAGGGATCTCTATGAACACTGTCTTGCCTTTGAGTAACTGAATATCCACTAGGAAGTTTGGAGTAAGCTCAATGTGACTCGCATTCACCTCCTTCAACTCTGTGTCAAAGGTACTGTGGCGGTAATCTGCTTGATCAAAAGCATGGTAGTCCTCGATAAGCACCTCCTTTCCGACTGCCTTGTGGAGGGCTGTCTGGAGACCCCAGCTATGAAGTTTCAAAATGTTTTTTCTGCCTTGATCATTGGTGAGCTTCTTATACCCAAGGAGAGTACATAGAGCTGACTTCTCCGTCCGAAACCCCTCTTGGTATGCTCTTGCAACACGGAGCGACTTCGCAGTGGGACTGTAAGGCAGCATCTTGATTCCGTTGAAAACACTTGTATCGTCGCGATAGTCGTATGGGACTGAATAGATCTGGTTCTTGGCAAGAATCTGAATTACAGACAACATATCTTTTGGGACCTCCACAATGTGCATATCTATGTCATGTTCCAAAAACTGGCGGGCTCCTGTAACATCATCCAATCCAGTAACTGCCGCCTCCTGGCCTTTGCAGCTCACCACTTTGCTGCCGGTGGGCTCATCGCTGTCATCCAAGTACTTCAGTTTTGATGAGAGAATCAAGAAGGAGGAAGGGTATCCAGGAGTCGCTTGCATTCCATAGACCCACAAGATGGGTGCCAGCATTTTTTGGAATGTTTTCTCGGTGAGGGTAAAGGAGCAGTGTCTGTGACCAAGTCGCCAACGACCCAGTGCAGGTACAGGGTGGATACATCATGTACCATGTTGGAGGCATATCCAATCTTTTGTGGTCACCTGTTCTTTTTCGTCGAGCTCCACAATCATTCTGAAAATGAGGTTGCAAATGGAGGTTTGGCGCACGCATGCATGGTGGTATGATGCCACTGAGTAAAGGTTGCCGGGGCGTGGGTTCTTCAAAATCTCTCCATTGCTTTGGTTCTTTGCAAAAACAGATGTGTTCATCATACTGTTTAGGTATTCCCTCAAAGCGGAAATGCCTTCAATCACGCCATCTTTTGGCTGGTCCTTGAAGCGGAGAGATGGGCGTCGAAGTATATGTCTCGGTATCTGGCCCTTGTTTACTTGCTTCCCATTTTCCACTTTTCTCCTTCTACCAAAAACTATGATGCCCTCCATGTATTCCATTGGAACCAGCCCCCATCGATCTTTGATAGCTTGACAAGCTTGTGCCTGTTTCTTCCTCGAGTTGCCCCCAGTAATCGGCCCGAACAATTTCTTGGCGGTGTCGCTTGCAAACCCATTCGCTATCTTCGTATTGTAGTATCTCGCCAGAGAGGGGCTGCTCTCAGCATTTGGGACTTTCTTCAAATGTTTTGTCAGCATGTGCCCTCTCCAAGGGACGATCCCACTGTCAACTCCAGGGGGGGCCTTACCATCTGGAAAAATCCGGTCGTGCGGGTAAAAGTATTCCTTCTTTACAGCTTTTTTTGGCGGAGGTATCGGACAGTTCAGCTGGCTCCTCATCTGTGTCTGGGTCAGAATCTGGGTCGGCTGCTGCAGAATTGGGGTTGGCCACAGCACTGGCACATTTCGCTGGGAGGAAAACTATCTTAGGTAGGTGTTCCTTGGCTTGGCTGCCCACTAGGTGGCGGTGAACCCATGGATCTTCCAATGGATCGGTTCGTACTGGTAGGAGGCTGCCATCAGATGTCATACTATCGTCGTCGCCTTTGTCTTGCTCTTCCCAATTGGTCCACTCTTCCTGGAAAGTCCATCGCGCTTGTTTGTCAGCTGGCTTATCTTCATTGTACTTATCGCGAAGTGCCTTTTCCTCTTCAGAATCATCTTTTATAATCCATTGAAGGTTTTCGATAGGGGGCATCGGGGCCAACGTATCTGCGAGTGAGCACTGACTGTCAGTGGCCCAGTCATTGGGTGGGTGTGGGTTGTCTACAAGTTGTAGAGCTTCCTGGTCGAGTACAATTTCTGGTGGCATTTCATAACTGACCTCTTCAGCATCTGCAGTCTCAGAACCTTCATCAAGGTTCTGGTCATTGGCAATCTCGGCAACTGCGTCAGACCGACTCGCATTATCGCCACTTCCTTCATCTGAATGGACTTGGTCTTGTGCAAAAGATGGGGGGGATTGCTGCTGAACTTGGGTTTCTTGGATGCAAGACTGCTGGGGGAGTGGGTTGAACTTGAACGTTTCGTTGGTACACTTGGTTGCGACTTGGCTACCGTGCTTTGGTCATTGGTCGAACCACTGCTGGTCCCAGATCCACCTGGAGCATCATCGTCCATTTCTTCGAATGCTCTTGTGGTGTAGACGATAAGGGTTGGATGAACACAGAATTTTGCGAGCCTTCTGGGCCAGAACTGGCAAAACAAGCCATTGGGGAGCGTGGGGACCATGGTAAAGAAGGCGTGGAGTAAAAACGACGCTTCTAGCTTGGCGTTTCTTGAGTCAACTGATGGCGAAGGCTAACAACTTTCCACGATGGAGAGAGCCCTGTCTGATTGTATCTGTGTTTGTTATGGGAGTAGAGTGCTCTAGCTAGGGATCTCGATTTTGTCAACCATGAAGGTCCCCACGAAGATTGCATTCACAACATCAAGCTGGAACACGTTGTTCTGACTTCCTATGCGGGACGAGGCATCATCAAACGATGTCAAGATTCCTGCTGTGAAATAACGCAAAGCGACTGCTTCATTGCCAAACTATTCTCAAGATATTGATTGATTGATTAGTCAAGGAAAGGACACGAGCTGTCCGGCACAGCCTACCGTTCACACGCATGCCAAAGATATTGACCGTCAACTTGGTGTTACAAGTCGTCAAACAGTTGACGTACTTCCCAAGTAAGGCGGGGGTCAGCGAGACAATGAGCCCCCGTATGATAATGATGGGAGAGTCTCTGGACTATAAAAAGCACCTGAGCCTGCAGTTCGGAGATTACTGCCAGGTGCATGAGGAAGACTCGCCCCGTAACAGCATGGTTGGACACACGAAAGCGGCCATCTGTATGGGAACGAGCGGAAATAAACAAGGAGGTTACAAATTTATGAGCCTCCGCTCTGGCAAGAAAATTACCAGGCATTCGTGGGACAAGATCCCAATGCCCGACACAGTGATAGCTAGAGTCAATCTATTAGGAAAAGATCAGCCTAAACTACTCGTTAATACTGATCGAAAAAATAGACCCATAGGTGATGTCGAGATCACAGGAGTGGAAGGGGAAGAGAGCAATGACGCACCATGCGACGATAGTGCTCCAGTCTTGAATGGCTCATGGTATCTTTGGTTGTGCTTGCCGCATTGGCAACTACTTTGGCAACCTGCTGACACCTTTGGCCCATGAAATATTGTTTGCATGGACATCATTGTCCACCTAGAAATAGCTAGCTATAACCTGCTATGCCTCAGTTATTTGGAATTGCCAGTATTGTCGCATGGTAGCATGCGAGATACCTCTGATCTCCACCACAGCTTTTCCTCTGCTAAGCTTGCTTGGTAATACCGGTAGCACAAAAGATTCATCCCTTGCACGACCACAAGGAGGATCTCTTGCACGTATTACCAATTAATTCAAATAATAACTCGTACTAAGAAGCAATTTGGAAGCAACCACTTGACACTTCCAGGGAAGCAAACCTATTGACACTTCCACCCACGAGCAAACCTATTTGACACTCACTCACACTCAGTCGAGAGCAAACCTATTGACACTCTCACACAATCGAAAGACGCTTTCGACAACAGCCAGAAAACGGCAACAACAAGAAGAACGACGCAACCGTTTGACCGATTTGAGCCGAACCAAGACATCCACCTATCAACCAAGACCTCCTCTACAACGTGGTACTATTGTCGCTTTGTTGATCCCCTTGGTTCAGAAGCCCTGGAGTGGAATATCCATTGAACGCCATTGCCAATCATTTTCCCACGAAAAGTGTACTGGACAATAGTCAAGTGTACTGGACATTTCCGAAAGCAAGCTGGGCCTTCTTTGAATCCTTTCCTCACATTTCTGAGGATATTCCGAACTCCAAGATCCCTGACGCTCCGAGAACCTGACGAGATCCAACCAACCAATGAGCCAGATCCAACCAAGGCTCACGCCCACACACTGAGTGGATTCCACTAAAAATTTATACAGTAACGATTTCTGCTGAATGACCCAAAACTCACCCAGCAACTCATCTGAATCTGAATCCAACGACTCCAACCAACCAGAACCTCCAACCAGCAGCCTCTACGACTTTGTTTCCAGTCTCATCTCACCTGCTGCAGCAAACGTTTCCGGTGATCCAGACTCTCAAACCTTCTCGTTCGACTCCAACCAACACGAAACCGAAACCAACATGGCTGAACCTGCCCCCACCGTCTCTCCAACCTTCACTCAAGACCAGCTCCTCGAACTTCTCAGGACCGCTGGACGACAGTGGGATGCATTTTCTACTCTCAAGCAGCCTCTGGTTGGAGGACTCAATGCGACTGGAGCTTGGACTGGACATGGAGTCGGCGGTGAAGGAACTTCTCCCATGAGCGCCCAGTGCATGAGAGATTTCAAGACGGATGTGATCAAGAACCATCAGGCTCTCTCTCCCATTGAATTGAAATGCAAGGAGGGACTGAGTGACTCACCGGACCTCCTGTTTAGTCTCCCTGGGGAACCAAACGCAGACAAGGTAGTGCCATCGCTCATTGCTCTAAGTGAGTTTATGATCTCAGTTGGGATGGAAAGCGTCTTTCGAATCATTCAGACCGATGGCACTCAGTTGGACATGCTTCTCCAGCCTGGCATGGTTTCCAGTGACATTGAGCGAACCTGGCATAAGGATCTAACGATCAATGGAGTTATCAAAGTCGATGATCAGGGCCGTCCTGTCCTGGTCAACGGTGCTGTCGATCGTTTTGCTCAGTGCTCATACGATGCCCAGAACCTGCATTGGTCGGGTGAAGCCGTGCTCAACTCTTGTTCGCCAACACTCATGCAGGACCTTAAGCAAGTCATCCCACAGCTCGCTGATCGAACTGGTCCTCATGTCCTATTTACCATTCTGAAGAAGATCTACCGCCCATCCAGCTCCAAGATCAAGAGTCTTGTCAACAAGCTGGAGGCACTCAAGTTGACAGATTACCCTGGGGAAATGTCTCTCACTTTGTCCACGATGCATCTGCTATCGTTCGGGAAATTCAGATGAACCATATGCCAAATGCAACAGTCCCTGACTTGACAACTTCGGCTCTCAAGGGTCTTACCACGGCGAGCAACCCATTGCTTCTCCAAAGTATGAGGGAGCTTCGTCTTGCCAATGATGTTAGTGGATTCGATTCGACTCACAAACAAGTGATGGGTCCCATTGCTGCTCTTCGCAAAGGTGAAGACCTTTACACCGTGTTGGGCTCTCAAAGTGACTATGCACCTGCTTGGCAGATCTCTTCTGATGCCAAGCACAAAGCTATGCTGACTCAAATGGCTGCCATGGTGGCTAAAGAATTGAAGACCACACTTACCCAGGACAGGTCTGCAGGTGGTGGCAGCGGTGGCAGGGGAGCAGCAGTATCAAGTGTTGGACATGTGGGGTGACACATGCAACGTGATTGCCCCAATAAGTCTGCAGCAGCTCTGGTCTAGCGGCAGCAACAGTTCCACTGGTCGTGGCATTGCCAAACATGGACTTGATGAGTCCACTGTTGCAAAGGTGAATGCCCAATGCAAGAAGTATACAAGACAATGCCTCAGCTCCATGCCAACATTCCTGACGATGCCCAGTATTCTGTCGTCATTGACGGCAAAACCCTGACCAAGTTCTGTCGTCACTGTGGTCACTTCTCCAAGGGAGCCAGTGCCCACTATACTAGTGAGCACAAGGGAGCCAATTGAGTTGCATACGTTCCTGCTAGCGGTGCTGAATCCCCACATGGTGTTGCTGTACCACCACCTCCTCTGGTGAACACAGAGATCCATGCTGGAGGAAATCTTTGTGGTGCTGTTTGATTTGCTGATGCTCCAGTCATTGATACTGAACTACGATCGGAATATTGTGAGATTAGACTTAAAACTAGCATTAAGACGCCACGTCACACACGTGCGTATGTCACTCTCCTCCACTGTGAGGCAACAATAGGCGCCGAGCATCAGTAACATTTAGAATATGAATCAGGGGAACCTCAATAACCCGTACCGGTGGCAACCGGAGGTACTGGATGCTTTGGAAACACGCGCCGAATGTTCAGTCGCTCGAACTGATGAGGACTGAGCTGAATCGTTACGTTGCCATTGGTATGAACGCAGGAAACACGGTAGGGACCAGAAGCCGTAGGCTTCAACTTATCACTGAGACCGAGATACGCACGCTTGTAGACCAGGTCATCGACCGCGTAGTCATAGGAAATGCGTTTAGCATTGGCCCGCAGCAAACGTTTGTCAACCAAGGATTGACGGTGTCGTTGCACGGCCAGGATGTCTGCATAAATAGGAATATCAAGAAACATATCTCGTTTGAAGGCAAGAGCACCAGGAGTGAGATACGCGTTCGTACTCTGCACGGAACAACGATGAGCATGCATCGCTGTCGCCAAGGTTTCGGAAATGACCTTGATCCCATCAGCAACACTCTTGGGATCGCGCGAGACCACAATGGTTCTCAATACTTGACCAATTGCCTGATGAGTCCGTTCAATCATCGAGTTACCTTGTGGATTACGAGGGGACGAGTAGCGATGCACTGCACCATTCTTTTTCACCATCCCAATGAATTCCAGTTTGAACTCCGGACCGTTGTCCATAACCACTTTCGTGGGTCGAGGATACCGAGCAAACCACGTATCTTCGACCACTCGGGCACCTTCTTCCGACGTGCGTCGCATGAGAGGCACAATCTCTAACAAGGTTGTGCAGGGGTCCACCATCGTCATAGCATTGAAAGTCAACGTCCGTTGTCGTAACTCAATCGTCCATGGACCGATTGTGTCACAATGGACTTCTTGCCAGGGCATCGCCGTAGCATCACGTGGAGCAGATTCTCCATAAGCACGTCGTGCTCGTTTGTTCTTCGCACATGCTTCGCACTGCTCAATTTGTTTTCAGACTTCGTCGCGAATACCTCTATGATAGAAATGTGTCTTGATCGTTTGTTCAAACGATCCATGCCTTCGACATGTGCCATGGACTTGTGATAGAAGCTGACCAACTTGGGAAGCAACTCTTTTGTCAGGACAATCTTGTCCTCGTCATTCTGATGAAAGCATATCAGCTCACTGTTTCCAAACATCTTCTTGAAAAATCGTTCCAGGTTATCAACCATGGTCTGTGCCAAAACTGCACTAGCTGCTTGGTACTCCGCGAGGACCGAGAAATTGAAGGGATTCCTTCCTTCTCCGTCGAATGTAGGATGCTCCAGGAAAGATTCTTCCATACCATCGTCTGGGTGATGCATCAAACATTCAGCCAACCTCTGATTCTCCTCCACAATGGAATAACATCGGTCGGCAGATGTGGAAAGGGGATCAGAATCGGCATTGTCGCGATCTTCGCGAGAAGTGGGCACCCGGCTGAGGGCGTCTGGGGGCCCGGCTTGTAATGAAAGGTTGGACCAAACTCTTCCAACAGCAATCGCCATCGCATAACACGTTGAGTTTGAAAAGCGGAAAGTTTGTGAGTAAGGTTCTTATGATCAGTAAACACATTGATACGAGCTCTGAGTAACATAGACCGAAACTCTTTGAAGATTTCAACGATGGAGAGCAATTCCTTTTCAATGGTAGTATAATTCTTTTGGGCGGAGTTGAGCTTGCAGGAGTAGTAAGCCACAATCCGTCCGTTCTATTTGATAGCTCCACCGAGCTGATAATCGCTAGCGTCCGTATCGATTTCGAATGGAACGTTGTGATCGGGATAGGCAAGCAGAGTGTCAGCTGCCGCCACAGCCTTCATGGCTTTGAAAGCTTGTTCTTGCTCGTCGGTCCACTCAAATTTCTTGGTACCGATTAGCTTTGTCAAGGGTGCCAAGGTGTGAGAACGACGAGGCCACATATCACGGTAATAAGTCGCCAACCCGAGAAACGAACGCAGTTGTTTGATATCTGTCGGTGCTTTCATGTCCAGAATGGCGCGCACTTTCTTCGCCATAGGCTTAACGCCAATGGGAGTCAACCAATGTCTAAGAAAATCTGTTTCTTGCACTGCCCATTCACACTTCAACGGATTGATTGTGAATCCGGCCTCCTGTAGGATCTTGAGTACTTGATCGAGCTTGTCGAGATGAGAGCGCCAATCGGAACTGAAAATACCAATGTCATCGATGTAGACTTCGATGTCATCAAGAGCTTTGAGCAACTTCTCCATGATTTCTTGAGCAATATCCGGAGATTGAGAAACGCCCATAGGTAATCGTCTGTACTTGTAAAGCCAAAAGGGGTAGCAATGGTACACAATTCGGAACTGAAGTCGTCAAGTTCAAAGGTGTAATACTGCATCGAGATATCCAACTTGGTAAGGAATGCATAGTTCTTGCGGCGAGCTAAAATATCAGCGATGCGAGGAATTGGATAAACCTTGCGTTTGATTGCTTTGTTGAGACCACGGAAGTCAGAGATCCACCTGACTCGACCGTCCTTCTTCGGAATGATGAAGGTACCAGCAATCCATTCGGAACGACTTCCTTCTTCAAGAACGCCAAGGGAAACCAACCTATCCAACTCTTTCTTGAAAATGGTTTGTTGGTGATGAGGAACAGTATAGTGTCGGCTTCGATGGGCCGGAACTGTAGGATCAATCTCCAAACTAATTTGTCCGCCGGTGTATTTGCCAAGTTCAGGACTGAACAAGGTATCATACTTTTCAAGGACACCACGAAGTTCATTCTGTTGTTCTTGTGACAATATCATTGTGGATTGATTAATCTAACGATCTAAGAGATGTAAAGTTTGTATTTCCAAATAAGTGAGCAGTTATTGATTATTTTCTAGAATAGGCCCACAATTTATAAAGCTGTAAAGCTGAATTGTAAGCTGTATCCCGTCGCACTCCCTTACAGCTGAAATGAAGCTGTAGCAAGAAACAATAGGAGAGAGTCCCCAGCAACGTGCTGAGGTAGATTACCATCCCATGAGGAGCTTCCGAATGACTGCAAACTGTGGAGCTGGCAGACCCTTAGTGAAGATGTCGGCCCGTTGTTCTAGAGTCGGAATGTACTTGGCCACGATGCCCTTCGACTCCCCGATATTCGACCTAATGAAGTGGTACTTCAATGCCAAATACTTGTTGCGGGCTGACATCTTGGGAACATTCACAAGAGACAGGCAACCTTGGTTGTCTTGGAATACTGTAGAGCGCACGAGACTGTCAGTAATTACGGGCATATGCAGTTTGTTACCAATTTCCTTGAGCAGGGCTCGCATAGGAAGCAGCTCCCTCATGGACATGCTGAAGGCAACATATTCAGCAGCAGTGGAGCTCAGAGTAATGTCAGTCTGCAGTTTGCTGGACCAAATGACAGGGCATCCAAACAAAGTCAAGACAAAACCAGTGCGAGACTTGACCGAAACAGGATCCTGATCATCCTCGTATCCATACAACCCTGCGAAGTCAGCATCCACCCAACAATCAAGTCCTTGATCAAGCTTAGGGCTAAAACAAATGCCTTTGTCACTTGTGCCAATCAAGTACCGAATGATTCGTTTGATGGCTTGAGCATGGGAATGCCTGGGGTTGTGGCTGAATCGTTCTACCTGATGTACACTACAGGTGATGTCTGGCGAGTGTTGGATGCAATGTAAAGCAGCATCCCAACTGCAGCTGGATAGCTCCACTCTTCTTCAAATGGGGTACCCAGTTTGTCAGCGCCGAGCGGATCGGTGGCAGCAGGAGAAAGCTTAGAGCTGGCTTCAGACTATGAATTCCAGTTAGGAACTCAGCTGGTAGGTGCACAAGGGGCTGAGAGTGGAGAACTCTGCCTGGAGGTCTCTCTCCTCTGGCACTTGGGAATGTGCCAGCCACAAAGCTGGCTGCCACTGTTATTCAATCTCCACAGCAATGATTGAACAACTTACTCTTTGCCTTGGCACAATCCACACAGGAAGGCTTCGACTGTGGGGAAACTAGTGCTACTGAGGCTGTATCTGGTCAACTATCCTTTCATTACTTCTTCTTCTTTAAACTATAACATGTACACAAAATCCTCGACAGCACTCAGCCATGCAGCTTTGGCTCTCTTGCATCTCATTTGGCTGGTGCTGGCAAGCTAACTTTCTATATTGGTCTTGGCTGAAGAACTGCATCATCCTTGGGTATATAGAGTTCCTCAGCTATTTCTGTATTGCCAGATGGCTGCACTGCTGACCTTACTGTTGGAGTATACAGATGTCACAGCGATTCTTCCACCTGGCTAAACCAGCACAGCTGCTTTGCACCACAATGGGAGTTCACGTGGATTTCCACTCATCGCTCCCCACCATGTGATGTGTCCATGGTGGTGTCCAGGAGATCAGCTGTGTCTCCTTGCCAGAACAGAACTGCCTTCAGGATGGGCCATATCTGGGAGTAACCCCAGTGTTTCGTCAGGATATCTGCGGGGTTGATCGCTCCCGGTAGATGATGAAACGAGATGGTCCCTGCAGCAATGGCTTCTCTGACGAAGTGGTAGGAAAGGGCGTGATGTCTCTTCTTGAGGGGCGAATGGGGCTGGGT